GAGTGGATGGCAGACTGCGAAAAGATCCTTGCAGCCGTTGGAATCCGAGGACTGATAAGTGGACTAAATGGTGGAAATCCCACCATCAGAAAGACCAGTGAGCAGAAGGAGAAAGGGGCGGAGTCTACGGGATGGGATGGGGCACTGCTCAGGGGAAACCTTCCATGCCCCATGGACATTCCAAGCAGGGCCCTGCCCTTCATGCCCCCCATGCAGCCGAAATGATGGTGGAAGCTGACACCAAATATAGACGTGGGGTTGTGAGGGGACAGAGAACCTGTATGGAGGCTGGGCCATGGGGAGCAGGGGATGGGGAGGCAGAGCATAATCAGTGAATGGGGTCCAGGTCTCCCCAAATCCACGACTGTAATTCCAGCAGAGGAGCATTGATTTCAGATTAAGTGGGACTAGAGGCTGTGTATCCTTTTGTGACTGACTGGTTCTTTTCTCTTCCTGGTTGAGGGCTAGCCCACCTGTCTGCGTGTCCAGCATCTGTCAGGGGCATCTGGGCAGTTCCCTCCTTTTGGTCACTGCGGAGAGGGGCTGCAGTGAACCCTGGAGGACAGGTCGGGTTTCTGCTTGCGTTTCTGCTAAGAGTAGGCGTGCTGGCTCAGGTTGGTTGTGTTTGGTTTTAGGAGGACTTTCTATTCCCGTCAAGCGTCCTCGTTTCGAAAACTCATCCAGCCAGTTCTACCCCGACCTGCAGGTTGGCTGTGCGTCGGCCTGCACTCAGTGGCCCGGCTTTTGTTTTTTGTTGGAGAGAATGTACAGGTCTTAGATGCTCAGCTCAGTGAGTTTGGGTTGGCTGTCTACAACCAGGCACCCATCTCCTGGGGTGGGGGAGAGGGGCGCGCCATCACCAAGAGGGCTTGTGAGAAATAGAAAGCTGCAGACGTGATCTGATTAGGACCATTGGCCTTCTTGTCGCAGGGGTTTGTCTTAGGGTGTGTCTTACTTCATACATTTCCCCTCCAACCAAGGAGCCCGGGGGTGTAGTGGTTATGACTTGGGCATGTTTGAAACCACCAGCTGCTCCAAGGGAGACAGTCTACTCCCGTCTTGGACATTCACAGGGCAGTTTACCCTGTCCCATCTGGTTGCTATGAGTCGGCATCGACTGATGGCAGGGAGTCGGGTGGGGCGGGCGGGGCTGGGAAGGAGGAAGAGGGAAGTAGCTTTCAGGTATGTACCCAACAGTGGCTGCATACTTTTTGTACATATTTCTTTGCTTTTTAAACCTCACCGGAAGCCCTCCAGCAGTGTTAGACCTTTGCAGTGGCGGGTGGGGAGAGGACACGTAGGTGCTCCTTAGTTCCTGGAGGACACTTTGCTTGGGTTCCATGCAAGCCCCCAAACCCAAATGCATTGCCTGTGAGTCAATTCCAGCCCATAATGACCCTGTGGGTTTCCGAGACTCTGAGAAACTCTCTGTGGGAGTAGAAGCCCCCATCCTTCTCCCTCGGAGCAACTGGGGGTTTTGAATTGTGGCGACCTTTGGTTAGCACAGTGGTCCTCAACCTTCCTCATGCTGTGACCCTTTCATACAGTTCCTCATGTGGTGGTGATTCCCCAACCATAAGATTATTTTCGCCGCTACGTCATCACTGTCATTTTGCTACTGTTATGGGAGGGGTGACCTCAAAGGGGTTGCAACTCACAGGTTGAGAACCGCTAGCAGCCCAGCTCAGAACCACTAGGTCACCTCTCTCTTCCATTGCGTCAACGCTGACTCTGTGGGTTTTGGAGACTGTAACTGTTTAGGGGAGCCCAAAGCCCAAAGCTCAGTAGTCTTCCCTCAGAGCTGCTGGTGGTTTTGAACTGGCAACCGTGAGGATCTTAGCCCAACTACTAACCACTAGCCACTGCCAGGGCTCCTGTAAATGCTAGCTAGACAGTTCAAACCCTGGAATCAGGCGAAATAGAAAGAAAGCCTTCCCCTACTGCTGGGACTCTGAATTTAGAGCTTCCGATGGAAATTCCAAGCCGTGAGAACCTACTCTACTACCTGAAGCCATCCACATGGTGTGGCTATGTCTTATAAAGGCAGTAGATAACGAAGACAAATAGTAACTTTTTATGGCCACTGTGGCTGAAAATATCACTGCATAATTTAATGCTGAGCATTTAAAAAATTCTTCTCTCAGGGAGGGAGGGGGAAAATGAGGAGCTGATAATAAGGGCTCAAGTAGAAAGCAAATGTTTGAGAACGAAAGCAAATGTACAAATGTGCTTGACACAATGGATTGTAATAAGAGTTGTATGAGCCCTCAATAAAATGATTTAAAAAAATTCCTCCCTGGATAAATTTAAGGAGTGGGTCAGCTGGCGCAAGAAAGATGACTATTATTTGTGGATCTTGGCATGGATGTCCAGGTTTTTCCCCACACACAGGTCTACAGCCTTCAAGGAGTGACGTCTCAATTGGGGGGCGGGGGGAGCATCAGGTGCTGTGGTGACTCTGCGCTCCCTGTCCTGCGTTCGGGCCCCAACGCTTTGTGACGCAGCCGCGGGGGGTCTGGCGGAGGCCAGGACGAGGCCGGCAGAGCTGGACCATGGCCGAGACGCAGGAGCAGCTGCTGCAGCTGCAGAAGGACAACCGCGACGGGCGCCTGCGGAACCAGGAGTTGGAAGAGCTGGTGCGCGGGCTGGAGGCCGAGAGCGAGAGCCTCACCAGGCGCCTGCAGGACCTGTGTGAACGTGAGCGGAGGTGCGGCGCTGCCCGGGGCTGG